GTGAGGAGGAGGAGCTGTGTGAGGAGGAGCTGTGTGAGGAGCTGTGTGAGGAGGAGCTGTGTGAGGGGGAGGAGCTGTGTGAGGAGGAGCTGTGTGAGGGGGAGGAGCTGTGTGAGGAGGAGCTGTGTGAGGGGGAGGAGCTGTGTGAGGAGGAGGAGCTGTGAGGAGGAGCTGTGTGAGGAGGAGGAGCTGTGTGAGGAGGAGCTGTGTGAGGAGGAGCTGTGTGAGGGGGAGGAGCTGTGTGAGGGGGAGGAGCTGGGTGAGGAGGAGATTGGAGCTGAGACAGGACAGCCATCAAGCTTTTAGGGACTTAATAAAATGAAGGCAGGAGGGTCCCATAGGAGACACTAGTTCTTTTCAGAAACTCAAAATAAATTTCTAAGAATCGCGAAAGGAAACAGTGGAAATGTCACTCGGAATTTGGGGTGTAGTAAGAACAGAACTTCAGGGTGACTTATGGTCTGGCTGTTGAAGGTAAGGGCAAGCGTGGTGGTTGATGATTGAAAAGGAAGGAGGGGAACCCGCAGGCCAAGCCTATGAGTTTCAGGGGAAAAAACCAAAAGGACGCAGAGGAAAAAGAAAGGAGAGAGGAAGCATAACCAGCAGGATAGATAACGGATAGATCCCAGCTGGGCAAGAGTCCCAGCCACTTGGATGCAGAGGCAGGCGGCTCTCGAGTTTGAGGTCAGCCTGGGCAGCGTTAGCGAGACGAGCATAAAAACAAATTGAAAGGGCTGGGGGCATGGTCCAAATAGTAGAACCTCCGCCTAGCAAGTACAGCCCTAGGGTTAATCACAGGCCACAGAAAAGGATGATAAAAGGAAGCAAGGCAGGGAGGAAGGAAGAAAAAATCTCTAGTAGGTCCATCAAAGGAAAACGAAAAGTAAAGCCATCTGTCACGGATGCCACGACTGAAGAAAGGAGACACGTGTTGCCGGGGCGATTTTAAACGAACACAGTTGGAGCTTAGATGCGTTCCTAGAAAGAAAGATGCGGTGGCTTTTCTGAGAGGGATCTACGATGTAGAGCTCAAATAGCCCCAGGGCCACAAGGACCTCACAGCTGTGTACCCAGGCCCGGCCTGGTTTATATCAGAGCAGCTGGCACCATAAAGGGCTATAAATGGCCAGGCACTGGTGATTTACACCTGTCATCACAGCTACTCAGGAGGCCAAGCTCTGAGGATCGCGGTTCAAAGCCAGCCTAGGCAGGAAAGTCTGTGAGACTCTTACCTTCCGTTAACCACCAAAAAGTTGGAAACAGCTGTGACCGAGGTGGTAGAGTGCCAGTCCTGAGCAAGGTCCTGACACAAGGTCCCCAGCACTGCGCCCAAAGACAAGGAAGGTTAGGAGGGAAGGGGAACCCCTCTGAACGAATGGACCTAGTGGAGGGCTCTTCAGTGTGCGCAGTAGTATGGGTAGCAGGTGGCATCCGCAGGGCTGCGTGCCCACGCGGCCAGGGGCCCTGGCCAGGGCAGGAGGGGCGGTGAAGAGTGCGAGGCTGTGGGTTATTAGATCGCACTGGTGCTTCGCCACCTCCAACATCTCCAGGCTCGTGGAGAGGGCTGCTGACGCGGGG